AGCTGAAGTGTTTCTGGTTTTGTTGGCATTTCTGCAAGCAGACCAAGGCTCTCCAGCTGCATTTCCCGAAGCTGAAGGAGACAGGAGTCATCACCTCTATATAAACTGTGGTTCTTGATGTACTGGGCACTGGACATCTACAAATGCCAGCTACGTACTGTTACTGATGGGACATTCAGTTTCTCAGATGAGAATCTGCTATCTGCAGGAAGGGCTAAAGCAACAGGCCATAGTAAAAACATCACTCCCTCCAGAGAGAATCAGATTTGTCTTGTTAGCCGTTTGCTAAAGTTCTGCTTCTGTTAGACAAAATGTACTTAAAACAGCCCTTTTCCCTGACCTGAGAGGTCAAGAGGGAGAGTTTGTTACTGAGAAGTTTGTATCAGTCTTAGAGCACTTTTGGCAATGAGGTGAGAAATGATTTGTTGAGAAATGAGTCTAGAATTGTCTTCAGTCCACCTGTGAGGCAGGAGTAACATTTGGGTCCTCCCTGCCTTAATCAGACCATGAATCTTACCTCCTCTGATTCTGGGAAGCCTCTTCTCCTCTGCTGAGCAGAATCCTTCCACCTTCCCCATTCTCTCTCGTGACCTGTTCTCCTTTTTCTGCTCCTGCAGTTTATGGCGACAGTTATGCTGGTCCTGGGCGTTCATGTCATCCACGATGACAAAAACAACGCAGCCCTGAAAGGCACTCAGCCCCTGATCTGTGGTATCCTGGTCCTGGGCATCGGCCTGGGAATGGGGATGAACACAGGTTATGCCATAAACCCCTCCCGGGACCTGCCCCCCAGGATCTTCGCTGCAATTGCTGGCTGGGGAACAGAAGTCTTCACGTAAGTGATCTGTTCTGCTTTTACACTGCCCAACTTGCGAGGAGGAAGGCCCAAGACAAAATGGTCTTGAGGCCTTTTTCTTTGGGCCAAGTGATGGTGTCACTGCAGAGTGTGTTCTCCATTCTCAGAGAGCTAGGGCTGTGCCTAGAGGAGCCCTGGGCACTCTATTCTGTACACCAAATTTGGGGTACATTAATTGTCCTCCATGGCATTCACCTTGACACTCTGATACCTCAGTTTGGGCACCACATTGGTGACCCATTCACTGGAGATCTGGCTGGTTATTGCACTGACCAGAGAGCCAGAACACATTCTACTCACCTGAAAGCAGGTACTTACAGCTGGATTGCTGAATAGCTCTCCTAAATTTAGATGTCTGAATCTGGAGATGAAACCCTGCCTTCCCCTATCCAGTAGGACGATGCCATGCCATGGCTTCTCCTATGGTGTGGTTATTACCGGAGTCTCCTGTGCCGGATGCCCGTTTTCCTTAAATTCCCTGAAAATGTATTTGAGAGGTTGGTAGAGGAGGTGCAGATGTTATTGGAAAAGGGGAGGGAAAATGTGGGTGCCTGTGTCTAAGTCACACTCCTCAAGATCATGTAGACTGTTTCTTTTGGATAACAAGAAAACTGCAGACAGTGTGGAGCTACGTTTTCATGCTGATGGGGAAAATGACCTTCCCTCCAGCAATCAGGTGGTGGAGAGCAAATTTGTCTAAGCCCAGTACACAAAGTGGGACAGGCACCTCTGCTCACATAGCTCACTCCCAGCAGACTCAGCTCACTCCTGCTGCACAATGAGGTGCCAGGGTAAGGAGTTCCAGCCTGGCTCACCAGCTGCCTTTTCTGTGTTTCTTTTTAGGGCTGGACATCACTGGTGGTGGGTCCCAGTCACAGCTCCAATTCTGGGAAGTCTTACTGGTGCTTTGACCTACAAACTCTTCATTGACATTCACAACAAACCTGATGAGGAAATTGAAAATAGGAAAGAAGAGAGAGGTGTGGAGACTTCCAAGCTGTGACAGCCACGTGCTTCGATGACACATAGGAGGAGCACACTGTTTGTCCAACATGCAGATGAGGGACTAGTCTTCAGTAAACCCACTCTGCTTAACCAGACAAACTTGGTCTCTGAGATAATGGGCAGACCTGGGTAGGGTTGGACCTGACTGTAACCTGAAGAAATGATTTAATCTCTGTTTAAAAATCTGCCAAAAAACCCAAACCCAAATGCAATCATCACATTTTGAAGAAAAGCAAAGCAGAGCTGCAAGACTCCACATACCTATATATTCATACATATCAAAATACCGGAGTCAACAATGGCAGAAAAAATGTGATTATGTTTATTAATATAGAAATTTGGTCTGGAATATTCCTTGGTAAGAGGCAGATACCACCCTACTTAAGGATAGTTTGGCAGAGCACAGAAAAGAGAAGAGCAAGGACAATCTAAAATAGAAACAAGAACTTTTTTTTTTTTTTTTTAATCTGAACATTCAGGAAGCATCAAAAAATTACTAAACTAAATCACAGGGTCTCCTGAATCCTGCCACAGCTCTGCTGGAACACGCTGGCATCACAGAACCATGTGTGTTACTGACAGGCTAGACTTGAACTATCACCAACTACCACCATATGACAGTATTCAGGTAACTTCTGTGACAGTATCCCCAAAAACTCAAACAACATCCCCCCCACCCCAAACACATTCTTTTTCCACTCTGAATGCATGAGAAATATGAGCAGAGGTTGCCCTGCTGTTGCAGGAATTCTGCTACCTCCATCTGAATGAGGAAGTGGGCCTGCACCAGCCTTACAAGTTTGAGATCTCATTGGATTAAAACACCATCAGAAGCTGTCCGTTCCCAGGGGGGTGACCACAGTCTTAACTTTTCTAGAAAGTGCTTAAGCGCATATGGTATGTATGTCAAGTACATAACTGCAGTCCCAGGGCGGGGTGCCATGAATAAATGACAAAGAAATCTCCAAGAGTAGGAAGGGACAGAACATCATCACTGCACAGAATTCCAAAAAATTACATTTACTGGCTTTAATGATTATTCCCATCTCCCTATTAAAAGGATAAATAATGGACTCCTGTGGCATGGGGTGGGGTTGGGGTAGGTGCTTCCTCATGAGAGCTGACTTTATATTAGCAGAGCAGCTACAGCAGATCCTCACCTGTGCCAAGACACACATCAGCTTGAGAACGCAAAAGAGATTTTTTGCCTTTTGAGGGTGGCAGAGGGTGGCTGCCAGGCAATGCAGCAACTGCATTTGAGTGGGCCCGAGGCAGCACTGGAAGCCAGCAAAATATGCTTGAGCTGGGGCAGAGACTTTGTACAGTGACCATGGGACAGAAGTGGAAGAGCTGTCACATAGCTCAGTCTTTTGGCCTATGGGAACTAAATTGGGAACTTCAGAGTAGCTCAAGATGGATTAGCTAAAAGCACTGCAACCCATCACTTCCCAGTGAGAGATTCCCCACTGCATTAAAAAACCCCAAACAATCCAGCCCGCACCTTGCTCTTGCCACAAATCCTTGTGCACATCCTTCCCAAAGCATCTTCAAATACCCAATCACTATGGACAAAAATATTTAAGTATTTATTAAAATACTATTAAGCACTTACAGGGTGGCTTCATTTTTCTGAAGGCCATACAAATACTCATGAAAGCCTCACAACATCCCTGTGAGGTAGGTTTGTCTTGTGTCATTATGTGATGGTTTCATAAATTAAAGATGATGCTGTTTAAATAATCAACGCTTATTTGAAGACAGTGACTTTAATTTCCCTGTTTAGGCACAAAATGTGTTGGGTGCTACCATGCATTTCCAGCACATCTAGGAAGACAGAATAGCATAGAAAAGTAGTGGAAACAATCAAGTGTAACCGAAAACCAGTAGTGAATGGATTAAAGTGCAGTTCTAACCTGAAAACTTACAGTACAGAAAACAGCATCAGGGGCTTCTAAGGCTGTAGGATCTCAATAGCCCCTGGTAAGATCCCACCCAACTGAAAAGGCAAAGGCTGTTTTAATGGTCAGCTTTGCAAATGAATGTGTGACAAACCAAGGGGTCCTCCTTGCTGATGGGACTCAAGACCATTGACTCACCCTCGCTCAGAGGTTCCCGCAAGAGGGAGGCAATGTGGGATCTTGTAGCTTCTGGTTGCCTTTAGGCTTATTTGGAATCATGCATCCAGTTGGCAGCCAGTGATGTCCCCCAGGGATCAGTGCTGGGCCCAGTTCTATTTAATAACATTACTGATGATCTAGACAAGGGGACTGCGTGTACCATTAGCAAATGTGCAGATGACACCAAGCTGGGGAGAGTGTTGATCTGCTGGAATGCAGGAGGGCTCTGCAGAAGGACCTGGACAAGCTGGAGAGATGGTTTGATTCCAACGGGATGAAGTTCAACAAGGCCAAGTGCTGGGTCCTGCACTTTGGTCCCAATACCCCCCTGCAGCGCTAGAGGCTGGGCACAGAGTGGCTGGAGAGCAGCCAGGCGGAAAGGGATCTGGGGGTGCTGATCGACAGGAAGCTGAACATGAGCCAGCAGTGTGCCCAGGTGGCCAAGAAGGCCAGTGGCATCCTGGCCTTTATCAGGAGCACTGTGGCAGCAGGACAAGGGAAGTGGTTTTTCCCCTGTACTCAGCACTGGTGAGGCCACACCTTGAGTATTGTGTTCAGTTCTGGGTCCCTCAGTTTCAGGAAGCATATTGGGGTTTTGGAGCAGGTCCAGAGCAGAGCAAAGAGGCTGGTGAAGGGACTTGAACACAAGTCCTGTGAGGAGAGGCTGAGGGAGCTGGGATTGTTTAGCCTGGGAAAGAGGAGGCTCAGGGGAGACCTCATCACTCTCTACAACTACCTGAGAGGAGGTTGTAGCCAAGTGGGCTTCGGTCTCTTCTCCCAGGCAATCAGCAGCAGGACAAGAGGGCACGGGCTTAAGCTGTGCCAGGGGAAGTTTAGGTTGGATATTAGGAAGAAATTTTTTACAGGAAGAGTGATCAGGTATTGGAGTGGGCTGCCCAGGGAGGTGGTAGATTCATTGTTCCTGAAGGTTTTTAAGATGAGACTGGATGTGGTATCAGTGCCATGGTCTGGTAACCATGGCAGGGTTGGATCAAGGGTTGGACTTGATAATCTAGGATGTGTTTTCCAACCCGGTTGATTTTATGATTCTATGATTCTATGTCACTGTCTGAAAAGATAGAGTGTGAAGGCTAAAAGGTGGTCTCCGCTGGGGAGAGCAAGTAGCTAGGACAGTGCAGAGACACCAAAGTCCCAGGTCCCCTTGTACCATGAATCTCAGAGCAGAAGTTGGAAGGAGAAAAGGGAAGTACAGAGTCTGATTTTATCTGAAGTGGAAGTTATTTCTTTGTTCATCAGGTTCCAGCCTGCTCCTACAGCATGCAAGGTCAGGACAGGTTTCTTTCAGAGCACTTGGCAGAAACATCTTCATACCTCTACTTCAGCATGGTCTGTTAAAGTAATGGTGACTTACATGGGCCTTCATTTCACTGCTGTAGTTGCACAGGAACAAAAGCTTCCCTACAGAGCAGTGACATCAGGGGCTCCTTCATGCCCTCTGAAAAACACATGCTGCAAGTAGCACAAGGGAATAAAATCAATGTCTCAAGTTTTTTTCTTAAGAATCTCCAGGATCTACATCCACATCGTGGCTATATTTCATGCAAATGCTGCAGTATGTTTTCCATGGGCACATCTATTCATGCACAAGGACCATGGTCTGAATCACTGAGACTCTGCAGCAGAGAACATCAGAGCTTATTGCAAACGCTGTCCAGGGTCAGATCTGGGGATCTCACTTCCTTGAAGTAGTCCCAGCTAGTGAGGATGTCTTGGCAGAGGTCATGCTCGTGTGACTCTTTTGGGAGCCTGCTGGCTGAGAGGGTGGTTTCTTTTTGAGTATTGGAGTTTTGTTCTTGCTTTTAAATACCTTGTTGGGGTCCAGCTTGTTCACAAAGGAATCAGCTTCTTCAGACAGGAGCGCTGTGTTGATGGTTATGGGTTTGTACATGTTAAACCATTGCTGAAAGGCAGGATTGTGGGGAAGGAAGAGGTTAAATTCAAACTGCAAACTGACAATTTCACCTTGTTCCCCCTCTTCCCTGGGACATGATTTTAATCCTACAGCACTTAGCAGTTTGCAGTTTACAGGACTTTGAAGAGTGTTTGTGATAAAGATACACAAGGCATGGCTACAGCTACAGTCCTGGAACTGCATTCCAGATAGGTAAGAGAAGAACCAGACACAAACCTAACACTACCTTTCCTGCAGTGTAACTGCTATAGGGAGCAACCCCTGATTTAAATCACAGGAGGAAAAGCAAAGGGAGGGGATGAAACTAAACAAAACTATCTAGATTCAGATAAGCAGAAAAGATTAAAAACCCTGGAATTTAAGTCGGCTTATAAATTGGAAACCAACTAGTTGAACTTCTCAAAACACAGCTTTCCCCCCTTTCTTCACATATAAAATAACATAGGTTTTTTAACTGTTTACACAAAGGATTTTGTGTTGATTTCTCTTATTTTCTTTCTACTTCTGATTTCTGTCTAGAAATAACTACAATGGTTTAGTTTCTTGGTTCCCAGAGATCAGCACAATATTATGACCTACAGTTCTCAACTGTTAAGTATTTTTCCCATTGCTTTTTCATTAACAAAGTCAGGAATCAAAACTGCAAGAGTTATAGTATTACAAGTCACATTGAAACCATCAACAATGTGTTGAACAAGATAAACAGAAGAGCAATACCAAAATGTAGATATCAACCTATTCATGTACTGCTTAGTGGAAAACAGCTTTAAATACTCTCTTGAAAACTTGAAAAATGATAATGGTTAACAAACTAGGAGGATTTTAACTAACAGGGGCTGGAAATGATTAGAGAATATACAAATGATTTCACTTAAGGTTTGCGAATATACTGTATGTAATAAAATATTTATAGCAGGAAAGCTACAGAAGGGCAGACCACAGGCATACAGTACAGTACCATGTACACAGCATGGGCTGATGAAGGATAGTGCAGTGTAACAGGGAAGACACCAGAAATGAAAAGAACCAAATTCTACAGCCACTGATTGATGGGAAGTCGGCACCGATTTTAGTGAGTAATTCTGATGTGCACACAGGACCAAGGAGTGCCATGCTGGCAGGACAGCTGTCATGTCTGGGGGAAGTGTAGGACACTCACTGAGACCTTGCAATGTGCACAGACACTGCACTGGCTTGTGTTCAGTAGGATTGTCAGCTCCACTCCCTGACCTCTCACATGATGGAAGCAGGGCTAGGGCTGAAGGCCCTGTCAAACACAGAGGAATAGCAGAAGATTCTAATAGTAGGATTTTGGCATAGCAGAACAGCAGTTTTAATAATAAAAAGGGGCTGGAATGGTCACAAGGCTTTACCTAGAGCTCTTCTGTAACTACTTCTAGGACTGCTGGCATTTACATTGCACCTTTTTGCACGTAATTTTTATAAAGGCATCCCTTCATGCCTGAGAAGGGTGAAAAGGAATTAATATTATTGGCAAGGCTCAAGCTCATAGTCTTCATCCATCATTCTATCTAATTCTCCATCCAGAGAGCATTAGGCTCTTGTTCAGTGCTGTGCCCAGAAAACTGATGTAGACAAATCTTACACAGCTATGGGGATGAACAGCTCTCCTCAGTTGTCAGCAGCCATGGAAGTGAAGGTTTGCTTCAGGATCAAGAAGGCAAAGAAATAATCAGGGTTCTACCACATGCTATTAGAGGTCGAGGGTAGGGCCTGACTTAGGTGACAAAAGCAGGGTCAACATGATATTAATGAATTCAAATTACTGTGAAACAAGTGACTATTAACACGTCATTGGGAAAAGACTGGTGGTCCCTTCCATGGTTCACCAAGGAGGGCCCTGCTGGGGGTACAGACTGCTTGTCAAAAGGTGGGAAGATGTTTTGCCAGTCTGTGCTTAGCAAAAAAACGAGAAGCTGGACCCTGCTGTCCTACCTTGGCCTGGGGGCTGACCCCGTAGCTGGTGAAGGCGTACTGCCACTGTGGGAGACCCAGGTGGGTGATGAGCAGGCGGTAGTAGGCTGTGAAGGTTTTGGTGAGGAAATGCCAATACAGAGCTCTGTCCAGGAACCATATCTCTGTGTCTGGGGAGACAACTAGGATAAAACAAGCACAAGTCACACTGTTGCTCTGCAGTGATAAGATTAACACCTGGCCACTGTCAGGTGGCAGACACAACTAACTCATCAGAAAGGTGGTTTTATGTACAGGTGCAGAATTCAGCACTTTTCCTTGTCAAATGTCATATGGTTGGTGACTGCTCAATCCTCTAATTTGTCAAGGTTTCTCTGCAAAGCCTCCCTGCCTTTGGGGCAGACACCAGCTCCTCTCAATTTAGCATCATGGGCAAACTCACTTTATGTGCCTTCCAGTCCTGTGTCCAAGCTGTTTATGAAGACACTGAAGAGCACAGGCCTAACATGGAGCCCTGCAGAACCCCACTAATGACCAGTCCCCAGCCTGAGTGACCCCATTCACTACAACCTTTTGTGCCTGACTCGTGAGCCAGTTGCTCACCCGTTGCATGATGTATTTGTCCGGCTGTGTCCTGGACAATGAATGCAATGCTATTCCTTCCCAGCCTGGGACTGATACGCTACATTCCTGGACACCAGCAACTTTGTAGTATACGTTCAAAGTCCAATTATGGCAAACATTTATCTGCCCCCCAAAGTAAAAAGCAACTAACTCAATTGTCAGTCATCTGGATTACTGAATAGAGTCCAGAGTCTGGAAGTCATGGGGGTGTGTGCTGCCAACAAAAACACATTTTGCAAAATCCTTCCACAGTGGTCAAGTACTTCTCTAGAGGCGACATCCTTCGTAGCATAAAAAGAATGCATATTTTCTTTCTTGGGAAACTGAGATGCTGAACACTGCCAGTTAAACAGTCTGTCCCCTGCGCTGCCATCGACCCCTGTAACCAGTGCTCCCTCCCCCTGCACAGGTCATCCACTGCATGTGCTGAGATCACCCACACTGGAAGGCAAGGGGACAAGTAAGAGATTACTGCCCTGGGAGCTGTAGTCACACCCAATGAAAGACACAAGATAATAACTGAGGATTTTTCTTAAGAACACGTATATTGCAACTGCACAGCCCTGCACTGTAAACACACACACACTGAGTGACCTGTGCACTGTCAGATGCCACCTACTTCACAAGTGCCTTGGGTGTTTTGCTATTCACTCACTGATAAAGGTTATCTGTGTATCTGTCAGAAGACATAGCTCAGTTCCCATCTCTTACCCTCCTGTTCCACCCTTCTTGCCCCATTTTGACCTACTTAGCACCTGGAGGCTCTGCACCCATGTACGAGGTGGAAGAACCAGTCTATGCCTGTCTCAGTCAGATAAGGCCTTTTTTTACCATCTACCCTTTGTTTCTAAGCAAAACCCTCTCTCATCAAAATGTAAGGGTTTTGTTCCGAGAAATGCAGGTAACCAGAGATAGATTAGTGGAGCTCTGTATTAGTTCAGCACTGTATGTAGGCCACATGTACATGCAGAAATTATAACTCAGGCTCCAACATTAAAAGGAGTGAAAATGTTAGCCCTAGTTAAATCTCTGTAAGGTTTAGCCCCTGACTTCAGTGGACATAGGACACCTCAGTAAAAGTTTCACCTATGAATTGCAAAGAAGATCAGAAATCTAACGTAATTCTTCAAGTCTGGCCTTCAGATACAATCCACAACAAGAGACAGATAACTTTTCTCTCTTCAGTCTTACCTGGTTCAGCATGCTTATAAACAAGACAGACTTTCCCATTTCCATTGCATGGATCTAATTCAAAGATAAGACTACGAGAATCAAAGTGTGGCTTCTCTGGTTTGTCTCCATTACCTGAAACAAAAAACCAAACAATTTCATAAAACATATTTGGAAAACTGACTGTGACTCAGTTGCAAAGAGTCAATCTATTTGACACCTATTAATAAATCAGCTGACGAAGAACTAAAGCAAACTATTATATTTATACTTCTTGGAAATGATTAAGTTCCCTAAGTTTAAAATAAAACTTAAAAAAAAAAAAAGGTGAGAAAAATTTTAATCTGGTAGGAAAACAAATCACTAAGTCAAATTCAGATGGCTGAAAACAGACAACAAACTGACTTCTAGTCCTTCCCTGGCATAAAGCAAGACCACCTTTACAGATGTCAATCCTGATGTTTGTCTACTCTTTTCTTAAAGTTCTCCAGTGCTGGAGATGGCACAGTCTCCAGGCAGTGAACCCACACCCAGCACTTATCACTTAGATGTTTTCCTGATGGATCCTGAATCTTCCTTGCTGCACTTGAAGTCCATTACCTGTGTTACACCTACGGTTACTTTTTTGCCCTAATGACCTTTTTTCTGAGGAGGACAGGGAGAACAACTTATTCTTTTCTCTTGACAGAAGACTTTAATTAACTTGTAGATATATTTCTCCATACATTCCAGTGTGACATCAGCAGCTCTTTCAACAACCACATCTCACTCATATTCAGCTTGGGACCCCCAACCACCACACAGCATTTCTACAGCACCATTTTGGGACTGTGTAGCTGCAAGTTCTTGCAGAATGCAATTTTGAAATCTAAAGCTGATGGGAAAGAAGTGGGATATAAGAGCTGTACTCTCCAGAAGAATTCTCCATGAAAGTCAGGATGAGAACTTCTGTGGGGATTTAACTTCTTCTCAGTGTACCTTATAAGCGCATCGCTGGAGGTTTGAGTCACTGAATGGAAACAGAACTTGGTGCATTTCATTACAACGGCTAGAAGATCAGGACTGCAGCCAAACTGGAATGTGCAAGAAACTTTCAGCCACATTTAGAAGCTAGAAGAACTATAGAGATGCAGAGATAAGACTGAAATCAAATAGCACTTTTTAAAAGAAACTGGCACAACACCTGGCTCTGTTCCTATCCTCTTAATTTTTCCAGTCTTGTTAGACTGTAAGAGCTCTAAAAAAAGTGAGTGGGCTTTTTTCCTCTCTCCAAATAGCAGTATTCCCAGCATTTTAGGCAGACTGGAAACGCATGCTTTCCACTGCAACCTCACAGTTACATGTATTTACCAGTTACTTTTCCCATTCCAGCTGCACTTTCATTACCAAGACAAAACCCGCTATCTTTTGTTCCTGTAACACAATAAGCACATAAAGACTTTGGAAGCTCAATCACTGGAGGAAGACACAGATAAAAGTTTAAACAGGGAAAAGGCAAAATAGGAGGGCTGACAGGTTGCTAAAAGAGGATACAACTAACTCTAACAAGTGGCAGCTTTAACAATCCCCATGATATTCACAGCCTACAGATCTGCCTGTTGAGGCTGTAGGGGACTAGGAGGATACATAATAGATCCAGCCCAGGAGACAGAAAAATCAATGAATCACAGAACGGTTTGAGTTGGAAGGGATCTTAAAGATCACTCCTTCCAATCCCACTGCCATGGCAGTTAGCTGAGGTGCTAAGAGAAATGGGATTGTTCATCTTGAAAATGAGAAGGCTTTGAGGTGGCCTAATAGCAGCCTTCCAGTACCGGAGGGAGCCTACAAGGAAGATGAAGAGAGACTTTTTACAAGAGCATGTAGAGAAGGGACACGGGGGGAATGGCTTCAAGCTGATAGAGAGTAGGTTTATATTGGATATTAGGAAAAAATTTTTTCTTATGACTGTGGTGAGGCACTGGAACAGGTTTCCCACAGAAGTTGTGGATGTCCCATCCCTGGGAGTGCTTAAGGCCAGGATGGGGCTCTGACCAACCCGGTCTAGTGCAAGGGGTCACTGCTCATCAGTTCATGTGCTATATCCTAACGTTACTCTAACAGAGCAGAAGGGATTATAGAGAACACATTTTCCAGCCTGTTCACAGGCCTTACCTTCCTCGTCCGTGTCATCTTCCAGGTCGGCGAGGGTCGGAGCATTGGGCAGGGTGTACACGGAGGAGCCCCCAAGCCGACACAGCTGGGAGATGCTGTTAATCACCATGGAGCCCAGGGGCATGGGAGTATCTGTGATAAGATTCATTGTTAACCACATCCAGTGTCAGGAAAGCATAGAAGGTATTTCTGTTCCTCCACACACCAACCCAATCCTTTCTAACACCATCAAGTCAACAAGCGCCCCACACAGCCACGTATCAGTGTGATGGGTCTCAGAAGGCACTGTTGGATGCTTGCTCAAACAAGACAGTTATGTGAGCTGCCTTGGACTCCGTGCACTTTTGAGCCCTGAAAACAAGACTCTTCAGAGGTCACAACAGAGCAAATCCCACTTGAAACATGATGGAAGTCACCGCAGGTGCTAAAGCCCTGATGTGAGCTGTCTCTGAAATCAAATTTCACTCCCTGAGGAAGATCCTGTATTTGACACTCACCTCCTCCAGAAGTAAGGAAGTGTCCACAGCCCAATTTGACAGCTTTGCTTGAGGGCAATCAGATCCAGGATAATAACTGCAGAATGAACAATACGCCTGATTCTTGCCCAACAAGGATGGACAGTGAAGCTCTGACTTTAGCAGTGGAAAGCCGAATCAGGCTCCAGAATACAATTTTTAATGAGAAAGAAACATTATCAGAGGTGACTCGTCCTACTGCTTCATGATGGGATAATGAACTACAGCTGCTTCTCTCTCCATGAACTACAGAGGGAGTTAAGGTATGAGATTTAAATTACATACCTAAATATGAGTGTCAACAGATGGCCAGTGTATTACAGAACAGTACTGATGTCATGAGTAGTTGTTTGGTTTCTTGCTATTTTCAATGTCTCACCTCTTCTATGAGAGTCCACAACACATAAGCAATAGATTTTGTCCTGTTGCATTAAGAAAGGACCTCTGATAGGCAGTCATATTTTTTTCCTTACCAAGACATCTCTAAAATAGTCTACGATCCTATGCAGAACTGCCTTTTTTAACTCTTAATTCGGGGGTCAGATTTCTGAAGCCACTGACCAAACTGTCTAGTAGAAATAAACTACTTTGTTTGTTTGAAAGTTAAGGAATGGTGCTAATTTTTAATTCAGAATGACCTGGTACCTGTTTTTTGCTCAGACTAATGCAGGACATTGAGAGATGTGCATTCACTATGCAGAAAGTAAGTTAGAAATTAAAGAGGTTCTGCAAAGGAAGGACTAGCTGCAATGGAATGATGGTATCAGTGGACAAAAACACGTGGACTCACCATCGGTCTTCACACTCCAGGTCATCTGGAAGCCATCTGTCATCAGATAGAAGTTCTTTAAATCCTCTGGCAATATGCATGAGTTTTTCTGCAAATCACAATTAAAGTGTTATGGGAAAACACAGATCATGCCTCAAACCCGAAGTTCAACTGAAAACTAGTACAGAAATATTTGCCACCAAATTTTTTTAACTGCAAGATGACTCAAATATCTCATTCTAAAGCCTCGGAGAAAACTGCGTATTTCTTGAATCTGTGCTATTGTATTAACAAAGGTGACCTGGGAAAATTTCACAATGAGCACTTAGTCATCAGAAGAATATTACACCATTGTTTCCCAACTGAGACAACACATAATCTTTTGACACTAGCAGCCACTCCGAGCTCACAAATATAAGAACAATTGGCTTTTTCATATATATGGTTTAAAATAGTAGGGTCTTGCTTTGAGTGAAATCAGAGTAAACTTATCTGTTCCATGCCAGGGGTGGACCAGAGGAGGCCTGCAGAGAGATGCGAAAAAGCTGCAAGGAAGACTCAGAAGAAAAGATCTGTCTCGAAGTCTCCTAGCAACTGCAGCTGTGTAGAACTGCCTGGGAACCAGCTCAGCTACAAGGCCGCAGCACTGCAGCCTCAGCAAATTCCCCTGTCCATGCACCCAGGACAGTTCTTCCATTGTTCCCCCAGCTCTCCCTTCCCCCTAAGTAACCTGACATACCCCAGTAGCCTATCCCTCCCAGTCCCCATATCAGAAGCCCTCAGGATTTGATGTTCCTAGCCGGGGTCCCACCTTATTCCCGAAACTTCTGTATGCCCCAGTATATAAACTGTCTTCTTGTTTGAATAAACTGCCATTTTGTGGGTCACATGTCTCGTGTGTGTGTCCCGTCTCCCAGTGCAAAATGTGCCGCTGGGTCTTGCAGCAGGTCCCCCCTTAACCTGCTATAGTTCCACTAAAGCACACACAGTATTAGCACAAGGACTCTCCTGAGGGATTTCAGTTCCAAGTTGGTGAGAGAAGTTTAGACTCAAAAGTTGCACATAATCAAGCGGATTCTACATTTCACTCAACAAAAAGTATGTGTGTAAACACATGCAGAGCCAGACTCACAAACCTGCTGGTCTGGCTTCACCCCTGCAAACTTCAGCACTTGGCTGGGGCTCCTAAGCCTGCTTCCTTCTGAGTCAACAACGAAAGAAGCAACTCCAGTGACCTGGAGTTCCCAGGAACCACAACCCACCTCCTGTGCATGCCTTGGTTATGGAAGGAGTCTTTCTTAACTTAGATTCTTCAGTTAAGCAGCAAATACGAGGAAGGAAGGATAAAGTCTTAATCCCTGGAACAAAAAGAATCCCAAAGAGCTATAGGCGATTGCAGGCCCAGCTCCTGGTGACAGGACTGGCTGCAGACCAGTGACCCTCTGTTCCTGCTGAAGTGTCATGAACATGAAACAGGACAGAAGCCTGCCAGTTTTAAGAAGACAAGCAACACGTATGACTAAAAGAGTTAACTGTTGTTTTGTCTGTAACTGTTTTAGAGAAAAAACAAATTGAGAAAGATTCAAGATTAACATTTAAAATACTGTTACACACAAGATTCCAAAAGAATCAAAGCCCAAAACTCAGAATAGTCTCCAATGATGCAGTTCCACAATCTCTGCATTGACTTGTCCAAGGGGAAGTTCTGCATTATTCTCCTTGTGGAAAAGTCACATTAAATAAAGACAGAATATTCTGGTGACCAATAGCTAAGGAAAAGAAAGATGCACATGCAGTTCACGTAGCTCCGCTTTACTTGGTAGAGAGAGAAACTGATCGGATTCTCCCCCACATCTGCAACTTGTACACATCCAATTATCTTTCCTGATGTTGCCTCAAAGCATCTCTCCACCAGGAGCTACCTGCCAGCTGTGCATCCAGCTGCAGTGCTGGCCTCTGGTCAACAGTGGCTGGCAAGAGCAAGGGAAGGTTAAGGTGCTGGTCTCCTCCTGTTCGCTTCCCCTCCCTCCCCTGGGATGAGGGCAGCCTTTCTGCCGGTTAAAGCCTTATTCACAGCCACTTTCTTTGGGTTGTTACAGTCTCTGTCCCCTAAACTGAAGTGTACACAGTGCAGGACCTCCTAACCTGCCCACAACCTTCACTCCAGCCTGTTAACTTACTTTCTAAGCTTATCCATTTGTATTGGCTGACTATTACTGATGAGTCCCAGATACCAATGGTTTTGTAGCTTGAAATAGGACAGGTCACTTTACCTGCTTTATCAAGCAACCTGGTAACTAGCACAGTGCTTTCCTAACCCAGGAAGGGAAAATCTTCAGAGTCTACAGGTACTGAAGCAGACAAGCTGACACTGTAGAGACTTTGTTTTGAGAAGAATTTCTCATCCTTTGATAAGAGCCTGCTGATGGCTGAGGCCCTGGTGGTAAGTTTAAGGAGATTACTAAACCACATGGACATATTTGAAGTTCTTCAAATGCCATTCACAAACACACCTTCTTCTGTGGGTTCTCCTCAGTCCTAAATATTTATAATTTCATGCTGTGCTTTCATCACTTCAAGTTGTAGCTGTAAGCACAGTGACTAGGGCTAAAACTATGAAGAAACACAACAGACAGACCTGCTACAAGGCCTCAGAAGACTACAAAAGTTTACATGGCACTTCCAATCCATTTCAAACCTCCCAATTTTAATTAATCTATCCCAGCAATAAAAACACATATGGAAACAGCCCATCTGACTTCAGTGGGGGTTACTGCCCAAGCAGGAAAACCAGAACCATTGCAGAAACAAAATCTAAGATTTTAAAACCTCCACTGTAGTATCCAGACAAATACTACTACAACTTAGGAACAGACCAATTTAGCAAATATAGCTGATTAAGGCAAGGTAAAAATTACATCTGAACAGGCCTTCTGCTCTGAATCCTCTTTATCTGAATGGAAAGATTGACATGCGCATGTTTCTCCAGGTGGCTGCCCTCCCAATTTATTTCAGGATTCTCCCCCTTTGCACGAGTTTCCAAATGATGGTGCAAAATACATGGGTGGAAAATGCTGTACCAGAGCAGATATAGGGTCTATATGAAAATACCAGTAAATAGAAAGCTTTACTAATACCCATCCCTCTCATCTGATAGAAAGGACTGGTTGTTCTGTCATATTATACTTAGTCACATGACCATATGACATCAGAACAGCGATGATTTGACAGCAGAGTCAGACAAACAAGCCACTGGATATTAAAAGTGGCTTATCAAATTCTGTATTCCTCCTGCTTAACTGGTAGCTTTAAGGGTTGTGCTCTCCAGCCCTATAAAATACACCTTTCCCAATAACATGCCAGAAGTGGCTTAACCACAGCCCTGGCAAGGAGCTGTTTTCACTCTGGTAATTTGGTTACACTCATCAGCTCATAAAACAAAATATTCCAAGTGCCCAGTATGGTGTGTGAGGTCTATTCCTTTTTTTTGTTCTCTATAATACCCCCAAGTAGTCTCCCGAGAAAGCACAGTCCATTGAGGACAGAGAAAAATATTAGAATCAGTCTTGTTTTGCTTCCAAGACCTGAACAGCACTGGATCCAAAACTAAAACATTCCCTTAAAGCACTGTTGAAACAGTACCTCTAAGCAAATATATTAAAGAAATGGAAAGGAATCAAAACATAGAGCTCTGGAGAGACTTTTCTAAAAAAAAAATAATAATTTGTATCCAACTTCTGGGGTGAGAAGGAAAGCATTTATGTCACTTTTTCCCCAACTTCTGGGGAGAGAAGGAAGGCATTTATGTCCCTTCTCAGGGCTTGCAAGCAGAAGAGTACCTCAGCAGCCACCCTTCTCTCTCCGTGACATGTTGCAATTTCATGACTGGGCTTAGCTGCTAATGAACGCAAATGTTAATTTATGTAACATACTGAGACATTCTTGTTGTACCTTTTATAAATGTGACCTAGAGGGCTCCCAGGAGATCACATTGCTTTAATTTTCTGGGGCTGGGGTAGACCTGATTCTCTGTTGCAGAGGATTTAACAGTTCTCTGGAGGATGTTGTTGTCCAGCCAGGTTTCTAATATTATAAGGCCCAACATGAGGTGAAACATTGTGTAAGAAGCACTATTTACCTCCCAGAAGTCCTCCAATCTCTTCCCCATTATGCAGCTTGAAGAAACACAGCTTTCCTTATGCTGGATGCTGCTTGATCCACTTCCCTGTCTCTCCTACAGTCAGGGCCACAAGACAGGCTCAAGATGGTAGATCCTGTGCTCCAGGGGATAAGGGATGACAGGCTTGCCTAATGCTAAGGGAGGAATTACAAGAAGGATGCTAAGAAGGACCCTTGGAGATGCACAGGCCTGCATGCGTACTTTTGAGTCAAAAAGAGATACTATGGTATGGTAGAGGCAGCGAGGGTGACTTTCCAGATGTCTGCTGGAAAAACAACACAGCAGAGAGGGAGCAGCCTAGGAGGGTCCTGGATTATGTGTAAGAAGGGTTCAAATGAGGACCCAGGAAACTACAGGTCTGTCAGTCTGACCTCGGTGCTGGGGCAGGTCATGGAGCAGATCATCCTGCATGCCATCACATGGCACTCACAAGAGAATCAGGCCCAGCCAGCAGGGGTTTAGGAAAGGCTTGACCTGCTTGACCAACCTGATCTCCTTCTACGACAAGGTGCCCTGCTTGGTGTATAAGGGAAAGGCTGTGGATGTTGACTTCCTGGACTTCAGTAAAGCCTTTGACACTGTTTTGCATAGAATTCTCCTGGAGAAACTGGCTGCTCCTGGCTTGGATGGATGCTCTGTTCCCTGGCTAAAAAACTGGCTGATGGCCAGGCCCAGAGAGTGCTGGTGTGTGGAATTACATCCAGCTGGGGCCAGTCACTGGTGGTGTTTCCCAGGGCTCACTGCTGGGTCCATCCTTGTTTAATGCCTTCACTGATGATCTGGACAAGGGGATCAAGAGCACCCTCAGTTGATTTGAGGACAACACCAAGTTGGGCGAGAGTGTTGATCTGGAGGATAGGAAGATTCTGCACAGGGATCTGGACAGGCTGGATCGATGGGCTGAGGTTCAGCAGGACCAAGTGCCAGGTCCTGCCTTTGGGTCACAACAACCCCCTGCAGTGCTCCAGGCTGGGGGCAGAGTGGCTGGAAAGCTGCTCGGTGGGAAAAGATCTGGGGAGTGCTGGTCGACAGTGGCTGAAGATGACCCAGAGTGAGCCCAGGTGGGCAAGAAGGCCAATGGCCCCTGGTCTGTGTCAGTGATAGTGTGGGCAGCAGGACCAGGGCAGTGACTGTCCCTCTGCACAGGACACTGGTGAGGTATCATCTTGACTATTGTGTTCAGTTTTGGCCCCTCACGACAAGAAGGACAGTGAGGTGCTGGACTGTTTCCAGAGAAGGGAACAGAGCTGGGGAAAGGTCTGGAGGAGTCTGACGAGGAGTGGCTGAGGGAGCCAGGCATGTTAAGCCTGAAGAAAATAAAGCTGAGGGGAGGCCTTATCCCTCTTTACAACTCCCTGAAAGGTACTGAAAGTACCTGAAAACCAGGTGGGCGTCAGGGTCTTCTCCCAGATAACAAGTGAGAAGAGTAAATAGCCTCAGGTTGTGCCAGGAAAGGCTGGTCAGTCATTGGAAAAGGCTGGCCATGAAATGTGAAATCACCATCCCCGGAAGTGGTCAGAGGGTGTGTAGATGTGGCACCTGGGGGTATGGTTCATTTGCAAACATGATGGTACTACATTACTGGTTGGACTTAATGATCTTAGAGATCTTTTCCAACTTTAATGATTCTATGAATTCTAGGATAGCCAGAAACCACCATGGCAGTTCCCACTGAGATTTATACACAGAGAGAGTTTCTAAATTGTCTGGCAGCCTAAGACAGCCTATAACAGTAAAGCACCAGACTGCTTGAGGGCTTTTTATGGCCTTATTACAGAAAATAAAATTTTTGTACACAAAATACACAAGGAGAAACAACAAATTTCCTATGCAGACTTGTAGAATATCAGAACTACAGCAATGTGATGGGCAGGGTTTGATGACAGCCAGCCAGGGGCAGCTCAGACACTGCTGAGATGTCAAACAGAGGAAAAGCCAAAACTACTCCGTTCAATTTGCTTGGCCTGCTGTGGTGCTGAGCTCTGCTACCTCCATGTCCCCCTCTGAAAACCTAAATAATTCTGTGGGTGACTCATTTTAATCCCGGTTGAGGCAAAAAAGAAGATGTGATTCTGACACTGCACCAGAGTGCCTCCTAGCAATATTTTAGTAGAATACCTACTTTTAAAAACTGCATGTGGAGGAAAGCAGAGCATTGCCAGCCTAATTTTAGGAGTGGGAAAGGGTTCACAGGACAACATACACTGGAGTTATTACCACTGGAGTTCTGTTGACCCAGTAATTCTGTCTCTGCTCCCTCTTCTATTGCTTGTCTCCCTTTCTTGGGGAAAAGGTAACATCTTGATGGGTCTAAATATCAGGAAAGGTTGAAAAAATATCTGTTTTTATTAAAATATACTGAACTGCTTAAAAGTTTTGGGGAAGTAATGCTACCCATGTAAACACTTGACAATCACAGACTTTAAGTATTTTTGTGAGTGCGCTGACTTCCAATATATTATTCAGGATTGATTTCAGGACTGATTTCCTGAAATGTAAGACTTAACAGCTCTTTCTGCCTGGGAACAGTTTGACCAGTTTTCCCTATATCACAAAAAAAATCCTACAAATACTTTCATAACCAAAGACATAGAGGGAAGTTAAAAACACATACTCTGACAAGACCTCGTTAAAAACCTCAACTATGGAGAAAATATTATGTGCATAAGTATTGCCACCTAGTGGCTCAAAAAAAACTCCACAGTGATAAAAGCAAACACTGTATTCAAACTCAAGAAGGCTAAGTTTGAGGAAAAGTGAAACACAAGTTCATCCTGGAAGGGCCTTGTGAGGTGCCGAGTGCATTGCACTTAATCATCACTGAAAGACTTTTTGTCCTGCAATTGTGTGGACTGGGGCAGATATCAGATTTCATCCCCTAAGGTCAAGGAAAAAAAAAAAAGTAAAAAAAAAAAAAATTTACTTCTTAATTTGAGAAGGAAAATTTTATTTGTCAGTGCAACTGGAACCAACAACAAAGAAATAGGCAGCAAACCCCTCACTAATAGCAGTCCAGCTCAACTATATCCTCTTAATTTTCAACATTTACTTTCACAATTGAGTCAGTCTATCAGTGGGTGGCAGTGGGGGGGAACTGAAATTTTGTTTTGACATCTCGGGAATGAAGTGCTTTGGCTATAGCATTTCAAAGTCTGGTTTTACAAGAACAGCTCAGTTTTGAAAGAAACCCATTTTAGTTTGGAGGAGAAGCAGCACCTGAAAATGAGAGCAATACTGTGTCTGGGAGAAGCATCCTCTGCACTCAACAGGAGAGTGAGCAAATGTCACTGCTGTTCCCAGACCTGAGCTGGCTCAGTCATAGTGCCTCAGACCTAACCAGCCCAGTTAATCCAACACCTGAACAACAGCTACGGGAACATCAATCAGTTTACACAAACCTGAAAAACCAGACATTTCTCCCTGACCACAGTTGCTGGCTACCGGACAAACATGCGTTTACATCACACATATTCTGACCTCAGTATATAAATTCTCGATAAATGTCACTAATTGGGATAGGGCATTACCAAAACTAGGACAGACCTTTCCTTACTGTTTGGGAAAATCCTGTAAATGGCAAGGTATCCAAGGGAAAGTTGTTTCATGCACTGGTAACAAGAGCAGTGGTAATAAGAGCAGATTCTCTGGGAAAATGGACTGGGGTTGGAGCAGAGGGAGGATGATTCACTCAACTCCATCCTCTGCCATGCCACCTTCCAAAGGCCAGACAGCCTCTGCTGTCCCTTTCCTACATGTGAGTGACACCTGCAAAGCAGTTATTCCACCAGGGCCATGGGACTGAGGTTTGGATATACACACGGATATTCAAAAAGGGGAGCAAAAATGCCATCTCTGTCCATGAGAGTCACACAACAGTTTTCAGAACCCTCTGATCACACACAGAGTGATGCAGTGAGGTCAGATAACGCAGAGTGCCCTTCATAGCTTTCTAGAACAGGCAGTGGGATGTGCCTTAGGCAGTGGGATGTGCCTTGGCCAAAAGACTGGGTTAGTTAGCCAAAGAGGAGGTAGGAGGAGGGGCTGTGAGAAGTAAATGGCTGAGACTAAAAAGAGAAACAGATAACTGGAAGAAACTGGATGGCTCAGTGGTATTTGCAAGCTTCAAGCCTTTACCTTTAATGTCCGTGAATAATAAGGAGCTGCTTCATTTTGTTTGAAAGGGAGTTGGAAAATGTTTTCAGACTTGAGTCCGAAAAATATTTGTTCCCCACTGAGTCACCACTGTTGCTGCCTACTAAAGATTTCTTTTTCAAGCTGTCATTCTGAATGTACCCACACTGATGATGTTTCTCAAATAGTTAGGGTGCACGTGACAGCCTAAAAGACAGACTGAAATTGAATTAAGAAAAACCCAACAACTGTTTAGGCTCCTCTGTGCATCAAACTTGGTAACAAGCTCTCTCATGACCAAACATAAGGTAGCCATTGCATTTGGGATTCTCTGTGGGCTGTTGCATATGTGGACTGACCTCACTGCATTTCTATCACAAAAACACTCACTTGCTCCCAAGAAATGATGGTGTGGCGTTCAGCTGGCTCCTTCTCCACAAACGTCACCTCAGCAACTCCTGGAGAAGTCTCTAAAAGGAAAAGAGAAGCATGTTTGCAGCTGGCACAGCTGACACCAACACTGTGAGACAGACAATCTTGCAAGTTAATTTGAGTGACAGCCAGGGAAAAGGCATTAATGACTGTAAGCACCGTGCTGGTGACTGAGCAGTCGCTTTTATTTTGTATGTAACTGTACTCAGCATGTCTTGGCATGAGGATATCTAAAGCTGCACCAAATGTCGTTCTTTGAATCTTTTTGATAAATATATACGCATATATAATGATATATCTGATGGGCCTAGGCACAACTGGTCTAGTGAGTGGCATCCCTACCAATGGCAGCAGGGTTGGAACCAGATGACCCTTAAGGACCCTTCCAATCCAAACTGTTCTGTGATTCTGTGACATAAACACATACATTTCGTATTCAAGGTGTGATTTTTTTGCAGAGAACTCATGAAAAAAAAAAAAATCCATGCTGGGTTCCCAGGCAAACGCTAAAAGAGGAATCTCTCTTTGCAAGCATTCCCTGTGGTTTCTGTTGGGTGGGATATCCTCAGCTTGGGACAATATATTGTGCAATGCTGCTGTGAACTGCTAACAACCATATTCCACAAAGACAGGCCCATTTAAACGCTGGATCCAGTGGGTTTGGACAGACACAGAATCTGATTGTGAAGGGAGCTGTGTGAGCAAACCTCAGCCCTTTGGAATCCCAGCTGGACACATGCAAAGCTGTTATGAGCACTGAGCTTGTAACTTATAAAAATCATCTGAGTATTTTATGGGAAAGAACACTATAGAAATGTAAGATGCTAATCTGCACAGTGCTACCCCTGCAGGTGTGTGATGGGAGAACATTCTCTCTTGCCCTTACTGTTTTATAACGTTTTACTTCACCCATAGCCAACTGAAACAATTCCCACTGAGTTAATTCACTTTGGATTAGGTCCAGAAAGACTACTAACTTGTTGTGGGAACTGCAAGCCCAGCACATCGGGCCACGGAATAGAAATGAACACTATGTAGGGCTTTCAGGAACTGGCTCTGCTGTGAAAGTATTGGCTCCCAAAGCAGTCATACACATTATAATTGCTTTCTGGTAAAACATACACAGTGCACTAGACAGGAAAGGCAGGCACTAGAGAGCTTTGGTGGGTTTTTTATCTTCAGTGCCGGGTTTCTGATTGCAGCAGTAGCCTTGCCCTTGGCTGTTCTGTTGGTGGATGAGTGGCACTTGGTTCCAGGAAGTCTAAACTCCACTTAAATTGGAAACACTGACTGGTAACATCATCAGATAATTTAGAGGACAACACATGGCACCAGAAAAACAAGACTCAGGTTAAAGATAGAAAAAAAAAAAACAAAAAACCCCCCAAAATAGTAAAATCATAGTAGGTCAGCTAGGTGATTTATCTGACCAAGGGTGAGCCCCAACATACAGAAGAATCTGATATTTAACTTCTGGTAGGTGGGTCCGAGGTGGGGTGATCTGTCTCCTGCCGAAACACAGGCTGCCCAGACGTATTCTGCTTCTAAAGGAGTGTGTGGAATCAATGACCTACCCAGTCCTTTCCATCCAAGCTATGCAAGCCTTATGACAAGTTAAAGAGATTATAATAACAGAGCAATTGTTATTTCTGTGATCAAAGAAAACATCAGGGATGTTTAATTCATCACGCACAACAGCTTGGCTGGGATGACAGAAGATTAAATATCATATCAGTCACAGATGATGTCAAGGAAAGAGAGAAATGCTACTTCTAAAGAGGTCTGAATCAAATCCAACATCAAAAGAAAGAGAAATTCCATCTTAAAAAGCCTGAATGTTACATTAAAAATATCCTGTGGGTAATCTGAAGACCACATTTACCAGCTGTAAGTAGGTATGGACAGGAGCTCCTTTAAACATTAACGACCGACTTTGCCATGAGTTGCTTTTTCTTCCAGAAGGAAGAAATGAGGAAGCCACCTAGATTAGAGAAATGATACATGATAAAGCTTAACCAGTTCAGGTGACTCCACCCTACTCATTACTCTGAACCAAGATCACAGTAAACTCTACCCTATTTTTAGGATATTTCATCTGGAATCTTCCAAAAATGCTTTGCAGTATTAATCAGAAAGAGTCAATGCAATGGAGTCAAAGCTGAAGAAGGAAATCATAAGATTTTCAGTCAAGAAATCACAAGATTAGCAGTCTTTACAGTACTGCTAATACTGCCTATAAGTTGGATAAACTCTCAGCATCATTTTAAAACGTCTGAATAGTTATGTTCTTATCCAGTAAACACTCTCAGTAGTGAAGAATGGTCTTGCTCTGGGAAGTTCAGAATAGCTAACACCTCCCATTCTGATTTAGTTGTGAACTATCAACCTTTATGGAATTTGATATTGCTCATAGAAGTTCAGCAAAACGAATCATACGGGCAATGGGAAAGATTTGCTTCTTTTTTCCCCTCAAGTTATAGCCTCCCTAAGACTTGTGAGAAATATCTCCCCTTGGAGGGACTTATACAAGTTAAAAAAAACAAAAACCAAACAACAAAGTAATGCCCACCCCCACAACCTAATCTATAGAATTTGGTCAAAGAAGGGTTTTTGAAATGGTGTCATAAACAATTGTTCATAAAGGTATTGGAAAATCAGGTGTCCGGTTCCCATATACACCGTGCTTAAAAGGAGTATGTTGAGTTTTATTCCATGATTATTTCTATCTCCTGAAAAAGAAGTGTTTCACAAACCCCATAGAGGTAAAAGTCTACTACTGATTTTATGTTACAGTAGGCAGAAAGTATCTCCTGGCTTCATGAGACTTTCCAAAAGATTTAAAAGTAAGATAGTTTTTAATGCTACTAACTACTGAGCAAGGCATCTTTCTGAATGAGATACTCTTTGTTATTTGAACATTGAACAGATTAATAATGTTTCGCAATTAGTTTAGCAATTCTAATTAATTTGGTGGCACAGCTGACATACTTTGGACTACTTCACTGGAAAAAAATGTGAAAAATTTCCAGAAGGAGTGGAGAGACATAAAAGAAGCAGAGTAAAACATCACTGAGATAGACAGGGATGCACACTGCTGTATTGCACAGTAGAAGTTGTCAGAGAGACAGACAGAAAAACAAAAAAATACACAAACCAGGAAACACCCTCCACGCCAATGGGATGTTACAGGACTTCCAGGAGCCAAACCTGCATTGCCACGTCTTGCTGGTGTAGATAACACACATACCCAAAACAGTTTATATGGCAACACTACTTTTGGACACAGTTAACATCTCACAGATCTCACACATCTGAGGGTTGCAAAAATGTGGGCAGGGCCAGTAATTTTTTTTTAAAAAAGAGCTACTTCAAAGAAGCATTTGCCATGATGGATGACCACCAGCAGTTCCACTCACAGAGCAGAACGACAATGTTATCCTGACCTCAAAACCGGAGAACAAACAAAACAAACTAACAAAACAACCAAACAAATTCCAACATCCCTTCCCTCCCCCCCTGCAAATTCAATAATACATCTGTATGAGAATGCTGATCAGAGACTGAGGATGAAATACTGTCCTCGCTGAAGCCCAGAGCAAGTATTAAGCCCTGATCTTTTAATCTCATCTGTCTGAGCAGCTACCTAAACCCACGTGCAAACAGAGATTCACTGAGGTTACCAGATGAAACTCACTGTCCAGCAATACAGTGGCTGGGTGAGGTGATCGCAGTGCTCTCGTCTGGCTTTAAAACTCACAGGAAGAAGCCTTTGGACTGCAATTTGTAATCTTGTCGCACACAGGGCTTGGGATAGAAATAGGACGGTCCTGTGCCCAAGTTTCTGAGGGATGAAAGGTCTAATGCTGAAATCCTTTACACAGGCAAACATTTGCACAAATCCTTGTGATTCCAATGCCCTGAGTTAAGTTTTGTCTGAGGAGCCTTACTCTGCAGGCCTTGCAGTCCTGCTGAACTTCAAAGAGAGCCGAGGGGATGAAAGAAGGCTTGAGACAGGAGCAAAACTCAAGAGATGGGAAGCAGGGCATGTTGTGGAACAAGTCCCGCGGTGTGGGAATGAGCTGTAGGGAGACTATTTTCGGGGAGCTGATCCTGAGCAGATTCCCAGGTCGGCTTTGTGCCAGAGCGCTGCCCCACACTGAACCCAATCCATCGGGCACAGTCCCTGCTCACCCCACACTGCAAGACCGCCAGTTTTACAACAACCGGGTTTTATGCACAATTTACACATTAAGGTTGTGTGGTGACCTCGGAGCAGCTTTCCAGTTCCTGAAGGGGTCCACAGGGGAGCCAGAGAGGGAGTCTGCCAGGAACTGTAGTGACAGGGTAAGGAGTAATAGCTACAAACTCAAAGAGGGGAAATTTAGGTTGGCTATTAGGAAAAAATTCTTTAATGTGTGGATGGCGAGACACTGGCAGAGGTTGCCCAGGAAGACTGTGGATGTCCCAGCTCCGTTAGCGTTCAAGGCCAGGCTGGATAAGGCCTTGAACAGCCTGGTCTAGTGGGAGGAGTCCCTGCCCACGGCCCGGGGGTTGGGACTGGGTGATCTTCAAGGTGGCTTCGCAATTCCTTAACATCCCATGATTCTACGGTTTTGAATAAAACACCACCTTCTCCTTCTTTGATGCTTTTGAAACTGCTAGGTCGAGCGACCCGGGATTCCCGCCGCTGATTCCAGCCACAAGGATCTCTGTGTGTGTGTGTGGGTGTGCAGGGGCTGCTCAGCCGCGCGATTCACAAGAGGGGCCGCGACAATCTCGTAACCCCCTCCCCCCAGCCCCCAGCTCACCCCTGGCCTGCCCCCGGCCCTGGAGGAGGCTGCATCTCGCCGCCACTCACCCAGGATCCTTGTGACGCCCAGGGTGAGCTTGTCCAGGTAGGGCTTGATGCCGGTGGGGGGTTTGTCCTCCATCCTCCGCGGGACCCTCCTACCTCCGCCCAGCCCGGCGGCGAACAAACCCTTTTATCCTTTCTGCCACCCCGTAGCCGCGGGGCGCGCTGGGAGCGGTAGTTCCGCCGGGCTGCGCTGCCGTCGGTCCTCGTCGCTGAGGGACTACGACTCCCAGCATGCCCCGCGTCCCCCCTCGTACTGCCGGCGCGGGCAGCCAATGGGCGGCGAGCGGCGGGGGGGGGCGGTGGGGGCGCGCGGGGAGTGGCGGCTGTTTCAATATGGCGGCGGCGGCCGCCGGTGAGGGTGGAGGTGTTCGCTGGAGCCGCGGCTGTGGCCGTATCCTTCCCTGCGGCGCGGGGCGAGGGCGCGGCGGCGGGGAGGGCCCTCAGGGGTGCGCTGGGAGGCCTGTGTGTGTGTGTGTGTGTGGGGGGGGGGGGTGTTGTCGTGGAGCCGGCGCGAGGCTGTGGGACTAGTGGAGTTCTGTGGCCGCTGCACGGGAGGTGTGGGGGCACCGAGTTTTGTAGGGGCTCGGCCCGGCGAGAAGGGTTGGGCGTGTGGCTATGTGTGTGGGATATGCGCGGGATTGATAGGCAAAAGTGGCCCACTAGAGGAGGGAGGGTTGTGCGACTCGGCTGTGGAGTCCTGGAGGAAGTAAACTTATAGGAATGGGGAAACTGCGTTCACCTCATGGAAACTTGTGAAAGAATCAATAGAGAGAATAGGGTGGTTTAGCCTGGAGAAGGGGAGGCTCAGGGGTGAACTTACCCCTGGCAGGAGGGTGGAACCAGGTCGGGGTCGGGCACTGTTCCCGGGTAAAAAGTGACGGGACCAGAGGGCACAGCCTTAAACTGCGCCAGGAGAGGTGTAGTTGGACATGAGGGGGAAATTCTTCATAAAAGACATAGGAATGGGCTGCCAAGGGAGGTGGTGGAGTCACTGTCCCTGGAGGTGTTTAAGGAAAGACTGGACGTGGTGTTCTGTGCTCTGATCTGGTGGACATGGTGGGTGATTGTTCACAGGTTGGAGTTGCTGATCTCGGGGGTCTTTTCCAACCTAATGGATTCTGAGATTCTTTGAAACTGAGGCTGAACAGGGAGCAAGGAACAGATGTGTCTTTTGTGACTGGCGCCTAAGCTTGATTACAAGCATAAAATTTATGGTGACCCTGTGTGGGACACGGAGGGCTCTGTCTGCGAGGGACGAGTGTGAAGCTGTGTTGGCTTCATTTGCAGGGGACTGGCAGGCTCCTGTTGTGGTTGACTACGTGGAGCTGGACTTGTAGATGGAGTGGGTGGTGGTTGTGGTGCTGGGGAGTCAGCCTGTAAGAGCCTGGCTAGAGAGAGGTGTGCTTGTGTGGTTTGGAGAGCCAGGAGCTGGTGTTGGTGTTTGGGCTCGTGGGGCTGAGGTACAGGCTCAGCGAGGTGAAGACACCGGGGTGGAACTGACAGCCCAGCCTGGTGGAAATTTAGGTGCTTAACATTTAGCTCCAGGTATGAGGGATTTGAGGCATTGCTATTACTCATACTGAGAGTGGGATTTCAGCATCAGCTAGAAGACTGGGAAGAAGAGTTACGTGTGTATGGTCCTGTATTTATGTTTGCACACCCACTGGACAGCACCACTTAAGTGAAATGGGCCAACCATCCCAGGAACTGTTTGGGGAGCACATTGTTAGGATTTCCCATTTGTGTAAAGTAAAATAGATTGCCTGCTTTCTCTGTGCTGTGATGGTGTGGAGGTTGGTGGTCAAATATCAGATTTGTTGCCACACTGTCACTACTCTGCTCGTTTGATGCAGTTACACTGACAGTGTGTTTTTATCAATTAACCGCTGGTGTGACAGGTTGTCACACCAAATATGGTTCCTTGAGCCCATCATCAGCCTCATGTGTTGTGATATTCCAAGGAATGAATTTCTTCCTGTCAGTCATTTCTGTTTTACGTTTGTTTTTTTTTTTTTTTGTGAGTAAGTAGTGTTGCCTCTGATCTTGGAAAAGTTTAAATACTTAGAAATGCACATGGTACAATTTAAAATAATAACAGTGGATGCTTTCCAAAAACTAAAGAGGAGGGGGTGGGGAGTTCGCTACATTGGGTGTTATTGGTATAATAGGTTTGTAAAACTGAACTTCTGTCCGTAACTGCTGAATAGGTTCAGCACAGCAAAGCAGATGCACTGCTGCTTGTGTAGGTGAGCCCCACAGTATCGTAGTGTGTAGTTTCTCCAGTGCCTCTCTGTGCTTTTGCACTGAACTTTAGCTATGGTAGTACAAGGTTTGTAGTAGTAAACTTGCCTTGTCAGCCTTGAGGGGCACATGGCAGTGGATTAATGCTCAAAGGTTGATGCTGGTACTGCCCCCAGAATCTTACACCAAGGCAAGGAAGTTGGACCTTTTTATGAAATGGCTCCTGAGTTACTGCGATTTTTCAGTCCGGCTGATTGAGGTAACCTGCTCCAGCTTGGGGTTATTCTAATGCACTGGGCTGCAAACCTTCACAGGAGAGTGGTCCTGGTAGCTGGGGCAGGTAACAGCAACAGCTCTGACTAATTATTGCTTCCTGCTACGAGGCATCTATCCACAACAGCTGCCAATACCAGCTCTAAGAGCATGATTTTGTTTAGGCAAATCTTTTTATTTCCTATAGCCGTGTGTTTACACACAGATTAACCATATGTCAGTTGAGTAAGCAATTGCCTGTGCTGAAGTTTGTTGTTTCCTGTAGTAGTGTGAGCTGAAGACACGCTCCTCAGTGCCTTGCAGTTTGCTGTCCTGGTGGACACAGCTGTTTGAGCTGGGCTGTGATCCAGGCTCAGACTTTCGATCTGCCTTGGTGCTTTTTGAGAAGAGGGCACACACAGTGCTTTTCTTTCAGAGTTTGTTCAGTTTCCTCACCTGGTTCATGCTGTGAACTCTCAGTGTGTTCTGGCAGCTAGAAGAGCGCAGGCTGCAGCTCCTGGGTGAGAACAGAAGTGCTCTCAGTGTTTGCATAGAGAGTTGGCTTTGACAGCAGTACTCAGTGAATGTATTTTCAAACTGGTGGGAGACTGATGAGTGGTAATTGTTTATGAGTGATAAAGGGTATCAACAAGATCATAAGGGAGCGTGTGATCAAGCCCTTCCAGCGTGTCGAGTACCAGTCCTGTGACGGACAGTGGCTGTTGACTGAATTTGCTGTCCGCAGGGGGAAGCTCCTACACTGTTCCTGGTTTTCTCCACTGTATGTTAATCTACTGAATTAATAATCAGAATCAAGTTTTAGTGAAGTCAAGAGTTTGTATATGTTAATTGAAATATTTTCATAACTTGACTTTATTGTACAAAGGCAACTGGAAAGCCTTTATCTACATTTATCTGTGAACAGTACAGAAATCAGGTAACTGAGTTAATTGCCCAGCCACAGAAGGTTGAGGAAAGTAAAGGGGTATAGACAAAAGATAGTGGGGCAGAACTTTGTGTCCTTTGCTTTTGTTTTTATCTTTAGTATTGCCCTGGTTTCATCTGGGATACAGTAAATTTTCTTCCTCGTACCTGGTGCAATGCTGTGTTTTGTATTTAGTACAAGAATAATGCTGACAACACACCGATGTTTTGGATGTTGCTCAGCAGTGAAGTCGTGAAACATGGACTTCAGTGTCCTGTTGGTCCACAGGTGGTGAACAACTGTACTGTGCATCCCTTGCTTCTTTTGGGCTTTATTCCTCTCTCCTTTACATTACAAATAGTATTATTTGTATTGTTATCCTATTCTGTTTTATTTTGTCTCAGTTGTTAAACTTTTCTTATCTCCACCTACAAGCTTTACCTTTTATCTCTGGTTTTTCTCCCCTCTGTGGGGCAGGGAAGGGGACAGGGACTGAGGGAGCACCCACGTGGTACTGAGTTGCTGGCTGGGGTTAAACCATACCAAATGTGTTAGTTACTTACATGGGAATAACAATCATTATGTTCAGCTCAATGAAACTGCTGCTTTAAAGAAGGCACTATGGTTTACACCCTTCCCTGAATTATACTGAGTCGTATTTTTAGTGGCTTCTGGGAGGCGAGGGATTCAAGTTCAGTGACTGCTGATATAGCACAAATAATATGGTGCCCTGTTCTTTCTGATTTCTAAGTGTTTTCTGCCGTCAAGTAATTTAATAGTTAAAGCTCTGGGATTGAAAGTTCTTAAAACTTCTTAAAGAAAATTAATCCTCAGGCTTTGTTTTTTTTTAACTCTGTTACTCATCATGTGAAGATCTGATGAGAATGACCAACTTCCTTTGAAACCTTCTGCATTTATGCTTCTTTATGTTTCTTAGAATATCCAATCTGTAAGAATGTATTTCATTGCAATATTAATATATACACTCTTTCAGAATTTGTCTCTCCTACACATAAAGAGGTTCCTTATATAATAATAACCTGTTTAAATTTAAATAAATATTATTACTTCATTATCTTAGTAATTACACTTGTAAGTGGGGCTGGCCCCTGGGATCTTTTGGAAGGTGACCTCTAAGATAATCTTTGCAGGCTGAAAGTTAATGCACAGTGAAGAAGGAGTAATGACTTTTGTTTTAGCAATCTCTGTGATGGTGATTTTTTTCTAATCAAGTTTTCCTTGCTTTTCTTGCATCCAGTGTTTGGTACCAGTTTGTTTTCTTTTCAAAAGTCTCTTAAAATTAAGAGCCCAAATATTAATTTCTACAGTTCTGTTTGAAGACCCAAACTTGCTCCTTTTTTATTACCTTTAACAAAGCCACATGCAGTTTCTGATGAAGAAGAGCCAATGGCACCTGTTTCAGGTATGACCTTCTAATAGATGTAAACAAAGTTTGTTGTTTTTTGTTTTTTTTTTCCCTTGATAAAATTTGCAATGTCTTTTCAGGTGCGTGGTTTGTGTATTTAAGTGTGTAAGGTAAAGAGTCATCACAAGTTGTAATGGGACATACAGGATTACAGCAGAGGATTTATGCTCTGGTGCTTAGATAAGCATACTGTATAAGATGAATAGTTTCAGGGGAGCTGTTTCTGTTGCAGGTACAGCATAGTTTGATCCAATTTATAAGGTAAGCTGAATTTTTAATGTGGTC